TTTTTTATATGATTTGATAACTGTTTCAATATAATTAGTTTTCTTTATACTCCTATTTTATGCATTTAAAAACATTATTCTGAGAAGTGTCCATGGGTTTCACCTATTAAAGGATTCATGGCATAAAGGAGGACTAAGAACTCTTCATCTATTGGGACTATCCATGCTCCTGTCCAAAGCCAGTCCCTCTCTAGTGCACTAGGTCCTTTCTCCTCTCACCCACTGTGCAGTGCACTCATACCCTCCCACCTATGCTCTACCTTCTCCTTGATCTGGGCCCTGGAGCTGATCTCTGTGGATAGAGTCCATCAGGTTTCCTTGTATTCTGACTTCTGCTTGAGTTCAGACAATGGGAGTCACCAGCAGGACATAGAAGGGAAAAGGGGAAGAAGTTGGGGTATTTATCTGCAACCTCTTTCCACAGACTTGTGCGGGCAGTTCTGTTCCAGCTTCTGTTGAGCAATCCTTTCCTATCATTGAGGCTTCCTTTACAGATTCACGTAACTGCTCTTGGTTTTCTCCTCATGCGGCCTTCCTTCTGTGGTGAGCACACAGTGATCACCATCCCCTGGGAGCTTCCTGTACGTCAGCCTATACCTCTGTAATAATCTCTTCGGTTTTCCTCTTTTGCATGTGCTGTGCGCTTTTTGCTAGGACTTTGACTACTGCATGGACTCAGCTTCTCTCCCTTTTCTAAGTTTTCTAAGTTCATTCCTTTCCAGAAAGCCTTCTCTCAACCTCATTCTCCTGACAGCTGCCACTTCCTTGACAGTCACACTTACTGGCCCCCATCCTTGCCTCTAGTTCACTCTTTACACACTCTGACTGGACCTTTGCCTCCACCCTACTGAAACTGCTCCTTAAGATCACCAGCGAACTTCAGGTTGCTAAACCCAGTGGTCTTTCTCAGTACTCATCTTTGTATATCTATTGGCAGCATTTAACACAGTTAATCATTTACCCCTCTTTGATGTTTTCACTTGGCTTCTAGGACCTCAAGGGATTTTCCTCTGACTCTTAGTTCCTTCTCAATCTTTTGTACTGACGTTAACCTTCCAGGGCTCAGTTTTTAGCCTTTAAAAAAAAATTATTTACGTACTCATTAGTAATTTAATAAGAAACACTCTCTAATCTAGTTCTAACATGCAGTATTAATCTGTCATGCTTACTAATTATTGTTTCTCTCCCCTCACCAGAACACAGGCTCCCCAATCTTGAGGATTTTTGTTCATTTGGTTCTTGGGTGTTTGCCAAGCACCCAGAACAGTGCCTGGCACATACATATTTGTTGAATTGAATTAGGTGGTGACCATACCATTCATATACAGGGTAACAACTGTGACTTTTCCTTCTAAAAAGGCGAAGTCATAAGGTAACAAGAATAAAATATAAATTAATAAATATCTAAACTTGTAATAGGAATATTCATCCTACACAAAAGGACAAGAAAAGACACTGATGCAAAATCAATAGTTATGACAGCAATAAAATTTAACTTTTAGTACATGAAAAATATCATAAAAAATAAAACTTCAAACAAACTTAGATTGCAACATATATAACAGACATGAAATTATACACTTAATATGTAATGATTTCCTTTAAATCAGTAAGTGTAAAGATTATACCAGTGTTTTAAAAATGGCTAAAAGAAAAACAACACACACACACACACACACACACACACACTCTCTCTCTCTCTCTCTCTCTGGCCTAAAAAGTTTATAAACCAACCGAAATAGGGACCGTGGGTGCAGTCAGAGTAGAGCGAGGGCCTCCGGAAAAAGCAAGGCAAGGTATTTGCAGTCAGAGCAATGTAACTACATGCAAGGAAACCCCCTACCAACACTCTGTGTTAAACATTCAGCTCTGGAGTCATTCTTCAGTAAGATCAGTTAATAAACCCCAGATAAAGAAGAGAGCACATGTTTTTATTATGCTAATCATTTATAATCATGTGTAAGATTCACTTTAACATGCTAAAAGGCCCAGGCCTATGTGCTGTCTTTCCTCCTTCAGCTCTGATGAAGTAATTTTGCAAACTGGGCAAATTAACTTAGCTGCAGGCCCAGCCATAAACAGCACAGTAAAAGGCCAGAAGGATTCCACCTTTAAGATAAGATTGCATTTTAATACCCAAGAAGTTGATATTAGAAATTCTTAACTTACTCTTTAGCAAACAATGCCTCAGTCCACCTTGGGGGCTGAGCAGGTGGCCTTGTTTCATAGGCCCCCAGACCAAGATGCTGGTATCTCAGGGAGAAATCATCAGAGCAGGAAGTTGCTTGTGTTAATTCTAAATATTCTGAGACCACTTAATAAGTTCACACCTCTAAGCTTTTTTCATGTTCTCAAAAATCCTCAACTGCCTATAAAACCCCTAGATGATGCACCACTAGGGACTCTATTGTCCCCTCTTGGTGTGAGCCAGGAGCTCTGTCCTTTCACTTTATCTCTAAATAAAAGCCTGTACCTTGCTCTCCTATCTTGAGTGTTTGTGAAGCTCATTATTTGGCTTCGTGAACAAGAACCCCGGCATCACAACCATTAATCTCACTGCAAATTCAAACCATAAAGATATGTTAAAAAATAAAATTCCATTTTAATTAATCTCTGAGGCAGTAATTCTACTTGTAGGACCCTTTCCCAGTTTAAAGAGCTGTACAAATACATGTGTTCAAGAATGTTTATTGCAGTAATATTTATGAAAACAACCTAAAATTACCACAATAGGGACAGGCTTAAATAAAGCATGGAATAATCATACTACGGAATATTTTACAGCTGTTCAAAATTATGTTTTTGAAGAATACTCCATAATATGAAAAAATATTCAAGGCATAAAGTTCAAGTTTAAAAAGAAAAAAATATAAAACTGTTGAGTTCAGGATTCCAAAACTTCAAATCCAAATACATATATATACATATACCACAGATAAAAAAGTGACTGAAAGAAAAATATATGAATGTTAATGCTTATTATTTTTAGGCAGTGGGATTATGAGATATTTTATTTTCCCATTTGAAGTTTTCTGTATTTACAATTTCTCCCAAATCACCAGGTATTGCTTTCACATTTATAAAAAGAATAAATAAATGCTAATAATAATAATATAAAAGTGAGATCTAAGATGTTTCAAAAGATGTAAACACTGAAATGTTCTTTTTTGTTTTATAAATGGCTAAATCTTCCAGCTAAAAAGTTTTTATTTCCAGTAGAAGTAGTACTTGTATTTTTTCCTTGACTGGATTTGGACAGAGGATCCAGTGCCACATATTTGATCTGGAAGCCTCCTGCTGTCACCGAAGCATCACTTAGAAACTTCAAGGTCATGACATTTCCTGGGGAAAGAGAGTGCAAAAGCATAAAGATTAGATCTGGTTGACAATTCCAAGACTCTTATTCCTGTAGAAGAATACCAGAACTCATGAGAAAGGCTCCCAGGATTCCGAGCTGGATTCTCAAACTGCAGAGTCTGTGGTTTCACTGCCAAGTGGAGCAGGGTGAGAGACTCATATTTTTTCCTCCTGCCCTCGAATCTGTTGTACAGGAAAATGTGTCTATTCTGCTTTAAAAGGCATTCCTTATAGAACGAATAGCCACCGCGTTGTAAAATGGCAGGCACTTCAAACCAGCACAGTACAGGTGGATGATTTACTAGTCGGTATCAGGGCAACAGGCTTTACCATTGTGAGAAACAAAGCCACAAAGCTAGATCTCTGCTCTACAGGAAGTGCTAAATATATTTTGCCTGCATTGAAGACACAGATGTGTTAAAAATACAAAGGAAAAACTTTATTATATAAAGTAAAACATAGGAATTTTTTCTCAGGAGGCCAAACCCTTCTTCACTCATGCCACCAATTCAAAACCCATTGAAAAAAAAGAACAAACCCACATACATTGAATGTTAATGTTTGCCAAGTGCAGCTTTAAGTGCCTTTCATTAACTCATTTATTCCCCACAGCAGCATTATGTGACAGGGACCACTAAAATTCTCTTTACAGATGAAACGGAGGCACAGTGCCTCAGTAGCTTGCCCAAGGCCACAGAGCTAAAATGGCAGGACCAGGTTGGGAGCCAGGAGTCTGGCTCCAAAGCAGGCATGCTCTGATCCACTACACTTTTCTCAGACTTGGAAGAGTTGCCTAAATAAAAAAAATAAAAAGAATAAAAATCTTTTTTGCAGGTAATAATATGGTTAAAATACAGACTGGCTCTGTAAGGGCAGCATATATCAACATTTAAAATGTGTATCACCTATGACCCCAAAATTTAACTTTTAGGAATCTATTCTTTTAAAAAAAAGTAGCATTGCAAGGGAGAGGTTTAAGAATATCCCTAAGTATCAAATAGCAAAAGAAAAAAAGATCGGAAACAACTATCTTCAGAATGTTAAATATTAGTACGTGACAAATGGTGGTACATCCATACAGTGACAAAATGTCGTAGTGGTGTCCACGTATACAGTGTTTGTCATGCAGGTTAATGCCTGGAAGGATGGTCACTGCACAGTTATTCAGTGCCTTGTGGGGAGAGAGATGAAGAAAGGGGGCATATCCTTACTGTGGACTCTCTTTATTGAAGTGATGCAATTATGGGTAGTTTTTAGTTCATTTTCCATTTTTGCTTTTTAATGTAAATATCCTAGGGTGAGTAAGCACAGTTTTCTTTAAGAAGAAAACTAGATCAAAATGTTGGGAGGGATTCAGTTCGTTAACAGCACTGTGCTTGACTGACAGGATTACATCTTAAATGTATTTTATATCTTCTTTTTCTGTCATCTTGTATTGCCAAACCTTTGACTCTTGTTTAACTGTGTTCTGTTCTGTTTGTCAGTTTGTTTCTCTTTGAATAACAAATTATGTGGGGTTTTTTCCCCCCAGTTTCTTGCGGTTGTGCAAGGAAAACACCGATTTAATTGTGCTTGGAGTACATTTTGTCCGTTTTAGACAAAATAAAAATGTCAACTTTCAGGCTTCCTTTGGACCCTCCCTCTGTTTCGTTCTTTGTTTTTTGTTTTTTTTATTCTCTTCTCCCAACTACCTCCTACAGCTCATAAGATGTTTTAACATAAAATATATTCTCAAGAAAAGAATAAGACATGAACACAAGGTTTAGTAGAGATTGTAGCAGAGTAATGAATGAATGGATTGTAAGCATTAATCATTCAAGGATGGTACAGGAATTTCCATCCCGTAATATTAATAATGAAGTATTAATGAGAATTGCTTGCACTGCAAAGCTAGGGCATGGGAGTAATTGAGCTAGTAGCTGAGTTTAAGGACTAAGAAATTGCAATTATGTACCTTTGTTTTTGGTTACAGAAGCTTTGTGATAATTTTATGACTTGGAGTTACAATAGAGCCAGTAAGAATGCCAACTACTATCGCTGATAAAGGAATAAAAAGAAAAAATCAAGACGCAGCAAAGTAATGGTTTTTAGCCAAAAAAAAAAAAGCAGATTGGGGCAATAGCAATGGTCACAGAATAATTCGCTGGAGGAAATCGATTTAGAAAACACTGCCTACTGTAGCTAGTCTTTTGAGATTTACTATGCCTAATTAGCATATTAAAAGCTCTCTGACATCTTCCAAGTTAAGAAACCCAGTTTAATTGTTTAATCCAATGTTTCCCAAATTTACTTGATCTTTGAGTCCTATTCTCATGTAATAGCTATTAAAAACCATCTCACAGAACTGTGTTCTTCACCAGTCTCTGGAGAATGCTGTATCAAGATAAAAATGCAATAAATGCCATGTGAAATTTTTTCAGTGACGGAAGGTATTTTAACAACTTTATAAGGTACTTTACTCCTTTATCAATGAAAATTTCAGCCCTTTATTGCCACATTTTATGGAATCATAAACTACAGCACTCATCCTGGATTTGCAGATTCAAGACTACTTCAGACAGCATTTCAATGAAGAGTCTACACATTTTTGGTGCAAGGTGTTCGCATAAGTCTATTTTTAAGCATACGTAAACACCTTGTATTTTACAAGCTATCGAGCTCTATCTGTCCTTAATTCTTTCAACCTTATCTACTGGTCCTTTACTGCAATGACACTGTGTGTCAATTTAGAGCCATTACCTGTGCTAATGATGTCTTCTGGAAGTTCATCTCCACAGTATCTGAAAGGGAATTTAAAAAAAGAGAGGTCACATGAATGAATGCTATACATCTCTTGCAAGTGGTTAGACATGTAATCAAAGTGCTTTGTTTCTCCTAAGTAATGGCTCATTTTCTTACTATTTTACAATTTTTATTGTTTTGGTTTTACTAACTTGAATGTGTAAAGGGAAGGGGTTTAAACAATGTTCGTTGTTTGGAATGACCTTTTTCTCACTGTATTAATGACATTCTTGAGAAAGAATATGTACATGTCTACTCTGTGTACCTACAAAACTATTTGTGTGATAGACAATTTGAATCTGGAAATATTAAAGATTTCTTTTTATTAGTTTCATTAAATTTCCTTCACAGTTAAAAAAGAGTAGGTATATTGCTGGTGGTAGTATTATTAGACTGATGGGAATGGGGAAAATTTATGTTGGACTTTATAGACTTAAGAGGGTTTGATTTTTTTTTTATTAAAGTGTGACTGATATATAATCTTATGCTCAGGTTTCACGAGGTTTTGGTTTTTATCTGAAGCATGGCTTGAAAGGAACTCCCTTGCACACTGTATAAAGGTAAGGATTTTGTCAGTTTCTAAAAAATGTAATTTATTCCAGAGCAGGGAAGAGTCTATTAAAAGTTAAATCATACAATATAAATCAAATAAATAACAAATTAACCTGTTGAATATCTTTAAAAAATGATTTGTGATTTTACCCAGGGCTATAATTGATTTCTCATGCTAGATTTAGGATATAAATGTCACATGAATTCCCAAGGTAGGAGGTCCATTCTTTCAACAACTACTTAGTTCTCATTTCCTCCAACCATATTTCATGTCTTCTTCAAACTATTTTGAAAAACTCTTTGCACATTTTTCTATAGCAGTAGTCTGTCAAAGGACAAACAAAACGAAACAAGAAACACTTTCCCTCCTGAAATTGTGGTTCACTTATGCAAAAAAAATGCCCTTTTCTTTGTATTTAAGTTAGCACACTTCAAAGTCAACATACACAGCTATTGAGTCTGTCCTTTTTAATTGTCCCCACTGTTTTCAATCATTAAATTATTATCATGGAATATACAGAATTGATAACAGTCTATTAATAATGGATAGTCTAAAATATGCATTATTAAGTGAGGCCCTAAGTATATAAACACCTAATTATAAACTCTTTAATATTTCATAAGGCAGTCAAAATTTAAACTATACTGAAGATTTAGAATGGGAACAGAAAAATGTCATGTCCCAGCATGATGAAAAACCAAGGGGGAAATACTGAGGAAAGGAGCACTTGATTTTTATGGCAACGAAACCTTTTTATGAAGGTATCCATTGTACAGTTAGCTAAATTGTGTGAGAAAAGGGGCTAGACTTGCTTATTTATCTTACATCCATAATGCCAGCACAATGCTTTGCACTCACCCAAAAAAGGTAACAATTATTGAATATGTAATTATTTTTAGGAGATTGGCAGAAATTAGAACATTAAAAACCCTAACAAATTTCCCAACTCACATATCTCTTCTTCTTTCTGTTGTTAGTCAAATCTTGAGGTCCTTATAAATAGCCTACATAATTAATTCTTACAATTTAACAGTAATCAAAATGCAGCCATCCCTGTTTTAATAAGAAGAATGTATAGCAGCTGACTATGGCTTAACATGCTGAGAAAAACCTTTGTTAAAAAAAAGGCATGGTGTTGCAGGAAGAAATACTGGGAATCGATATTGTAGGGACAGTTAGGGGAAATTAAATAAACATCAAGCAAAATATCAGATGTTTATCTAACTTCTTGTGTGAAGAAACACGTACCTTCCCACAAAACCATGGACATCATCATAACTGTCATATATTTCAACATAGTCAGCCAAGCAGGCTGGATCATCTTCAAGGTCAAAGTCCAAAAAGCTCAGGTGAATACGCTGACCATACATGAGTCTAATGTGCCAGTAGCAGATTTGATTATCATCATACTCATTTGGGAAGCCTGGAGATTTAAAAATTCGCTTCGGATCTGTAAAGACACCGCCACACTCCTTTGCTGAAATGGAAAAAAAAGCAAGCAAACATTAGAAAAAATACTGTCCTTATTTTAAAATTATATTCACTTCTTAGTGTCTAATTTTTTACTTTTTATAAAATATTGAAGAAATGGCTTAATACACAGCACCTGTAGTATATTAAAAATACTTAATAGCTGTGGTATTTTTTTATCAATGTTGCTAAAATGAATATACAGTGACTTTTTAAAAAACTAAAGCAGTAAGAAAAAGTTTAACTGTGCTCCTGTTTACTTTTTTTGCTTTTTTATCTTTTAAGCATAGAATGTACAGTCTTATGTATACACTTCCATGTGTTTTGACAAATATATATATACCTGTGTTACCAACAGCCCAGTCAAGATAGCAGCGATTTTGCCCTTTAGTGTCACCACTGTGTCTTTGGAACTTGAAGACTTAGAATTAATGAGTCCAATAAATTCTGTTTGGAAAATCATTATAGAATTTCAGCATCACAAGGGACCTTGAAGGTCACTCAAATTCAATTAAAAGGAATAATTTATAATCATCCGAATTCCTACTGGTTTTAAACCAACATCTTAATCCTAATATTTAAGGATTTAGTGGAGATATTCATGTTCACTTGTTTCAAGTCACTTATAGATTTCTGCTGTGCCTTATAAGTTGTAAGAACAAATGAACAATCTCTGCCAGAACCAATGATTTTGCAGTGGACCTAGAGGGAAAGCTATGGAGGGGTCCTGGTTAATTTAATTCTGCATAAAATATGTATCTACTGTCTTGACAGAAGATGCAATGTGGAAACTCAAAAATAATCTGAGTGGTAGTGGTGGTTGGTGACTGAGTAACATTCAAAGGTATTTTTCATTATTTCAACTAGAAGCTTTTTCCAAGAATATTCTCTTGTAAAGTAACTACTAGTAAAAATTATGTTAAGATCCTTAATGTCATAGAAGTTAAGGATGGTTAACTTGTTCCCCAAGGCAGTTAAGAAGGATCTAACAAGGGCTGAAGAGTGTCAAGAGATCAGGGATCTAGTCCGAGCTCTGTGGCCACTCTACACCTGTTTCTTCATTGGTAGAACAAATATAATCATGCCTCTCCTATTACCCACCTCAAAGGATTATTCTGAGGATAAAATATAGAAGATAAGGGTGTTATGTAAAATGTAAGCTATTCTTATTGTACTATTAAATATATGATACATAGTCTATATGTGTATATAAACATGTACGGTGCCAACATTTGCTCTGTCCCATAGAATTCTATCTTTGTGGGATCTATCATTAGGTTTGTGTTATCTATCATTAGGTTAGGAAAAAGAGTCAAATATTGAACTAATCTAGTTGTCTATTTAGCTACATATATTCAGCTGTATACTTTTATTACATATTGTTGTTGCCTCATCCTTTGCTAGTTTAGAAAATGACAGATTCACAGTTTCCTGGGTTTCTCAGGTCTGTTAATTGGTTTAAAAGGTCATCATGCAAAGACAGTCAACATCTTGTCACATATTCAGAACTTCAATGAGCAAGTTCACTTCGAACACTTCTTACTGACTCTCTTCTTCCTTACCTCAACTCTCACTTGGTGATATTGACTAAGTAACAGTCATTGCTTTATTTTTCTGATAGTTATGGTTTTTTTTCCATTGCAATTATTTTTCAATGAACTGTTCTTCTCCCAATGCTATTTCAGGCAGTACCCAGTCCTCCTCAGGTTAACCACACCCTAAATAATCAGTATACAACTGAATCCAAAAGTAAGCTGAGAATTGAGGAAGAACAAGTCTCCCAGGATTCTGTACACATATTCCTGAGTAAAAAATACTCAGCCTCTATGAGAAACAAAACCATAAAAAAATTTGTAAATTAAGGTGGCATTCTTATAAAAGGGCCATGAAATACTGTAAGAACCTTTCCATTTGCACTTCCTCATCTCCATTAGGCCTTGACATATGGAAATGATTGAGAAGATGGTCAGAGATCCTAAAGTTTACCAAGCAAAGAAGAATCAGTGAATATATTCAGAAATAGAAGTTACCTCTGAGAGTAAATAGAGAGTGGTGTGTAATATAAATAGATTGAAGAAACAGAGAGGAAAAGAGGGAGGAAAAGAAGATATATGAACCAACAAGGATTAAATATTGGACTAAATACAATATAGTATAAGCTTAAAGTATGTCAAAATGATTTGAAAGTTATAGTCCTTCAGAAGTATACTGAAAGGATTTATTCACATTTTATCTTACATGGGAATAGGTGAGAGCTCTAGGCCAAATTCTTGCTACTTGGAATACACATTATTTTGAGATACAGGTTAGTTACGAACAAGAGAAACTGTTCTCCAGTGGTTCATATCATTAAATAATAATAGAATGAAAAGTACTGCATAGAAAGATAGTCAATAATATTGTAATAACTGTGTATGTTGACAAGGATACATTTGGTAAGCATTTTGTAATGTACATAAACATCAAATCATTATGTTGTCCTTGTGAAACTAACATAATATTGTAAATTTTAAAAATCACTGATTATTGACTATCTGATTTTGTGTATACTTAAGCTTTTAAACTTTCAGTGTTCTGTTTCCTAAAATGGGTATAATGAGAGGTGCCATAATATTAGGTGACAGTGTAGAAGAAGGAACATAATTCAGTATCTGGCACAGCATAATCACTCTAAGAATGGTGTTATTATTAATAATTATCATTATTAAATTGATTTATCTCTGGAAGAAGGTTAGTTTTAATAACATGCAGCTATTTAAGTGTAAAATTATTATTTTTGACAAACCATGTGGGTTGTAGCAATAGGCATCCCATCTCTCACTCCTATTGAGGCGGACTCCATAGTCAATAATACCAGTTTTTCCAAATCCACAGTTGGGCCCTGGCTTCACGATGGGGTATCCAACTCTACCCTTGGCCATCCACCCGGCCGCACAGACATGAAATCCTGCGAGAGAGTGAAAGGGTTATGGCTTGACCAGTCAAGGCCTTCAGGTGAGCAAAGGTCATCTTAACAAAAACTGCCCCTTCCAACAGGGACAGTTTCTTGACGGCCCAAGTCCAGTTCAAACAAAAGGGGAAAACTGTTTTCTTAAGAAATGAAATAAAGTCTGAAGCCATACAAAACATAATATCTGAATTTTGCTAGAAAATGACACTTCACTTGAAAAGAGAAAGAAAAGATGCAGGTGAACTGCATCAGAAATCAGAATACCATGGATATGAAAACAAGTTCAGAGCAGACTTCACAGTACTTATCTAATGCCATGAAATAATTTCTAAAATGACCATCAATCCTAAACAACATTTTTCAAATGATAATATAATTAATTTCTATTTCAGGATCAGCTAAGATATTGCTAGTATTTTTAACAATTTGAATAGGGCTAAAAGAGCTCATAAATTTCAAACAAAGCCTCAGCCAGGTTTTCCTTGCCCAACATCATAGGCTGTTTCAGTATTTGCCAGTGCTATTCGAGAGCGATTTTAGTAGAGGTCCAGGACAGCTAGCAATGGCTCTGACCTTTGTACCCACCCTTCTGGTTACTACATCACCCACAGCCCTGGGGGTACAGACTGAGCAGTCATCTGGGGAGACTGTGGAGCATTTTAGAGAACACTGTTGTTTTTGTTTGGGGTGATATATAATAATAATAGTATAAGCTTTGCCAGGTATTTTTCTCTCAGCAAAGTGGTTTCTTCAGTGGAGAAGAAGAGTTCCAAATGGGGGTGGCCTTTGGATTCTCCTGAAAGTCCAGGACAGATGGTGGCAGCCCATTTTTTTTTTAGTCAAGAAGCAAATAGCACTAGTTAATTACTGAGTTTTTCACCCGGTCTCCTAATATCATCTAAGTTTCTTTTTCCTGCCATCCTACTACCTGTTTATCTTTCTTTTCCTTATAGCTTTTGATCTTAATAGCTCAAATGAATTCTCCCACTTACGATAAAAAGAAGAAAAAATTGAAAAATAAAAGCCACTAAAGTCAACATTTCTTCTACCACATAAATTTCTTGGTAAAACTTAACATTGCAACATTTAACAGTTGAGGGAACCCATACTCAGAGCCAAGGAGAAAGAGAACAACATTAAAAATGAATACCAAAGGCAATAAACGTAAGGAGGAATTTAAATGAATATCAAGATAATGATGTCTTCATTTTTTTTTGGCTTTTATGTTATTAGCTCACAATGGGTTGTTACCCCAAATAAGTTGCTAGTACTGGGAACTGTCCGCTGGCTGTAGGCAGAGAAGGTCGGGGGAAGCCAGAGAGCAGAGATGTCTCAGGGGCTTAGAGAACTATTAGAAGAGCTGGAGAGACTGAGAGGTTACAGGAAAGGTGTCATTTTTTTCCAAGGGTGAAAAAGAAGAAGAATCATTTTAAAAGTAGTTACCAATTTTTCTGGCTGCCTCTAGCTGCTTATAGGTGGCGAGCCGGCCGCCTTCGTATTCACACACAGCCTTCGCCTCAGCATAGGTGAGCTTGTATTTACCGGATCGTGCTTCTCGGTGGTACACACCTGCTGCTTGTTCTGTGAATTCACAAAATGTTGTAAATGTACTACTGTCCATTCTTGTGGAACAAGGGAAATTTTATGGCCTCAGCAGGAAGATTACATCAGCTCTTGTTCCTGCCAAAGGGTTTCCTGGGTCAGCTGCTGTGGGTGTCTATGCTTTCATTATTAGAAAGCTTTGGAAAAAAACATGAATGAGGGGAATTTTAGGGGATTTTTGGGGCACAGACAGAAACTTTTTTTTTTGAGGCTAAATTATGTTTCTGAACTGACAGGCTGAAAGTCTTAATACAACACTGTATGTCTACACTATCCAAAGGTGATAAAGTTTTCACTTCTTTTGGCTTTGTTTTCAGACAGATAAAGACTTGGAAGGGTAGACAATTAGGAAAAAAAAGGAGGTGAAGGTAAAAGAAACCAATAAAAATTGATCCATTGTGTAGGCTTACAATGATGGAGGAAAATCATATCCATTTGAGGGAAATGACTAATTCCTTATAATTGAGAGTTTAGTAAACAAATTAAAAACTGAGGAAAAGTTTGAAGGAATCCAAAGCCAATAAGTACTGCATTTCAGAATAGAAAAGCAGATTCCAACTCTGCAGAGCAAAAAACTGGGCACACCTAACTACCAGTCCCTAAGTCCATCTGGCTTGCCTTTTTTAGTTCACATGTTCTTCCCAACATATTTTAGTAGTAAGTCATATATGAGTTGTCTTCCAATAGATCACTGTTTAAATTGATTGTTTTGAGTTTTGAGAGCATTTTGCCATAGAAACAATGTGAAAAGATGCCCAGGACAGTAGTCAGAACATTAGCTCTAATAGTTCTGTGTAGACTGTCAGACTATGGCTAAGTCTTTAGACCCTGACCTGTGCAATCAGTTACCCTGAAGATCATTTCCAAGGAGAGCACATATTCCCTGGCATGAATCAAGACATGGATCCAGCCATATTAGAAATCTCATTCCTTGTTCTCCCCAAGCTGAAGCTGACACTGCCACACTCCAATAGGAGATGCTACTTGGCATTTTCCCTACTTTTCTGGATTCCAAGGATCCTGCTCTTATACCTTATACGGTAAAGACCCATCACATATATACTGAGGACCTTGGTCCATCTGATGGTCAGAGAACACAAGAAACATCAAAGTTATTCTCTCCTTTGGAAGTTGCCTATTGCCCAAGTGTTCTTCATGTGGTAAGATAAGCTAAACTTTCACTAGTTTCCAATTTGGTTATTTTGAGAATACACCATGGGGTGCCTCACTAGGCACTGTGGATCAAGTCCTATTCTCAAGCAACTTGGACACTAATGGGCAATGCAAGTACCTTTATTTTGAAGTCCAGAAGTACCAAGTCTTTTAGCAGAGAAGGGAGACATGCTGAATTTATATATTGTAACAGATTACTGTTAATAATCAAAAATGTTAAACTTGTATCTATTCCCCTGAGAATATAGGCTAGAAGATATTTGAAGTAATTATTGTAAATATCTGCCAAAGTTTCTCAGATTAAGATTTTCTTGGTATTTTACCCCAAAATCAATCTATGATGTTTGCTGAAATAAAAATTAACAAAGAGATCTTTAAGAAATACTTTTAGGTTTCCCTCCCAATAATTTTTCCTAAACTTTAAAGTTCTTGCAGAAACTTATCTAGAAATAAGATTGTTAATAGCAGAAATGTGTATGCTGTGATTTTCAATTGATTAAATAATATTAACATTTCATTGTTCCTGAAAGAGTACCCAACTTCCCGTTATCTTGCCTTATGAATAAGTTGAGAACTCTTGGTATATGTACTTCACAATTTTTAGCAGACATTTACTTTAAAAGTGTTCCTCAGCTCAGAAGTTTAAACTACTAAGATAGTCATTTGTCCAGTGATTCCTAATTTTTAAAGTTTTATCTTTCTGAAGAAATAATAACTAATTTTCTAGTCAACAGTCATTCATTAAAACTGAAAACCTATTTGGCCAATAATTTTTTTCCTTTTAGTGAATGGTGAGAGTAGCCTATTGGCTCTGGTCACTACTTCGGCTGTTGCGGTAGACAGACTGTGTGACCTTGTTTTAGTTACTGCCTAAATCTCAGTTTCCTCATCTGTCATATGGAAATGATAGCCATTCTTAGAATAAATAAACTATTAAAACCTAAGCATAGCTTCTGGGTCCTAGTAGGACCTCATAATGAGGTTACTCTTTCATTCTTTTTCAGATTCAGTGTAATTGCTGAAAAGAATTGTTTATCTTTGCCTTTTTTATTTTCATAATCCATATAAATTAGTTGAAGTCTCTTGTTAAGTACCTTTTTTATACAATTTTTTATTAAGGTATTATTGATATACACTCTTATGAAGGTTTCACGTGAAAAACAATGTGGCTACTACATTCACCCATATTATTGAGTCCCCCACATACCCCACTGCAGTCACTGTCCATCAGCGTAGTAAGATGCCACAGTCACTACTTGTCTTCTCTGTACTACACTGTCTTCTCCATGATCCCCTCCACATCATGTATATTAATCATAATAGTTAAGTATCTTTTTAAAAAAAAGAGAACAGAATTAAAAATAAACCTTAGGGTCCCCTACTTCGAACTTCTCATTTTACTCATGTAGAACTGAGCCAAAAGTTTAAAGTGCCTTGTTCGTGGTAGTTGCTAGCAGATTCTTGCTTTCTAATCCAACTCTCTTTCCTCCCTAAATAATTTCTAGTACTCTATTGACCTAACCAACTGTAAACAATTTGTGTTAGGCTGACTGGTCAATAATTTGTCCCAGATTGAGGCACTGTGTAATTCCCCGGAGCTTCAGATTCGCAGCATACTATTTACAAACATTTGGGTCTGCTCCTTTGTACCTCTAGGACAGAATGCCTATTGTCTAGGTTTATATTTTTGCAATACACAACATCACTTGAAAATAAGACAGCTCCAGATGACTTGATCTTTAGAGTGTGACAGCATTTCAAAGGTTATCCATATGGGTTTAATTTTTACTAGCTTTATGACAATTTGTTTCCATTACCAACAGATATGTGTATATTTCCTAAGTTTGATGGTGTGCAATGAAGATAAACAACACTCCTCTGGTAAATCCCAGACCCCATCTTGGCCAGATGGATCTCCCTGTTCAGCATGAAACTAGTTCACGTGCTCAAGCTGAAAAAAAAGAGGTGGTAAGGCTTGCAAATAGAGCTTTTAAATGAAATCCGCATGGCTGCAGTTACTACCAGAGAGAAACATGCTGAAAGGGAAAATATTCCACAACTGTATACTGCTCAGCAAGCAGAAAAAACAAAATCTAGGTTCATTTTGCCATTTGTTTCTTTATTTTATACATGTATCTGTCAATTTCTTTCTCATGCAATTCAAACTTTTTTCAACTATCAAGCACAGTAATGGACATAAAGCAATATTAATTTGTGTCACATGAGAAAGTATTGTCTAGAGTACTATGCAAGGTATTTCGGGTTTTCTGCATTTGGCCTTTTTTTTGGTCTATTTATATTCACAGTTAGGCCTCTGTCATTCCTTGCATTGAACAAAACAACAAAAGAAACTTTCATTATCTAACAAAAGGGGTTAGAAAAGTCTTTACATAGATGGTTCAAACACAAAGAATCAAAGCGGTAAGAATGCCTTCAGAAATTTAAGCCTTTTTTCATTTTTTTTTTCTGTTTTACAAGCTGGCTTTGTCGAACTAGTTAAAAGGTGCTTGGTAAAAAGAAAAATATACACTACAGGTCAGAGTACATGAAATAATGATTATAAAATTATTGTACATTCCAAATTTACCTGTTATGATTACCTGTTATGAAATCTGACTGCAAATGCATTGAAATTAAAACAAAATAATATATTAGTGTTTTTATTTTGTTATAGAAACAATTCCACATTATATCACCACATCTGTTTTGAAAATTTTGAAGTATTTTTTCATACCGCACGTAAACATTAACCTCTATTTTCTGTCGAACAGGTCACTTTATAAAAGCTACTTTTGACGTTTAGAAGGCAGACACCCTTTTTTAAAAAAAAGGTGTATGCATTCCAAGAGCTATCTTTCATAAGCATTTTCTTAAAAACATCAGCCTTACACAGAACGAAAAAATTTACTGCTTTGATTTACTTCTCCATGAATTCAAAGGAGTGACATTCCCCAGAAGAAGCTCACGAGTCAAGTTTCTTACCAAGCCATATGGAGTTATGAAAAATTCCATTCTTGAATCCCCATCCGTGAGCCTCTTCCCACAGCAAGACAAATAAGTAAATGAAGATGATCATAGCTCAGTTGTAGAGAAGCAGTAGTCAGTTCGGGGCTGCCTAGCATATATTCTCAGAGCAGAGGCTGAAATGTGACCGAAACATCTGGTTTCCACATCTTTTAAATGTCTTTTTTTCAACTGTGAGGTCAGCAAGCACTCTCCAATGGCCTTTTCCGCTGTGGAGTTACACAATTAAGTCAGTGTCTGAGGCAAACCCTCTGACTCGTTTGCATTGGCAACCAAAACTAAGGATATAGAATGATCATCCACATTTTAAAATTCACTTACGCGGAAAGGGATTCCTTTAAACTGTCTGTCACAGACACTTTTCTGTGAGGAAGTCTGTGTTCACTTGGAGCAGATTCAGCAGTGATTTAAGAAAAAAACCCAAAAAACTTCAGTAGGGACTGTAAAAAAAGCCCTGAACATCTTATTTGTAGTAATTACGGAGCACGGGGTTGGGGTTAAGTACTAATCTTGGACTTGACCCTGGTAATGTTACTTTTGTTTTCCCTAAACATTGCCAAGCTTATATAGGAAATTTAAAACAAAAAATGTGCGCAGTTTGGCAAATCCTAAACCATCTCCAGTGGTGTAGGATTTCTTTGCCCTCTGTCTGTGTTTGTCCTTGGGGTAAGGCCAGTTGTAGTTTTTGGTTTATTGTTGTCAGCAGGTAAATACTTCAGCTTCCAGAAAAGTAGTTCAGGTTCAGAGCCTTAGGACATTCCAGCCCCGGTTAGAGTAATTTATTATAACACAAATTTCCCCAGGCCACAAATCCTTGGAGAAAGGTGTATAAGGAGACAGTCATAAAGTTAATGAAAGAAAATATGCCCCTAGCTTCCCTAAGCCACCCTTAACTTTGATGACGATTAAAATAATAGATAATAATTATCATAATAAAGTCACCTTAAAATATGGCAGACTTTTCTTCTCCTTTTGTGTAGGGTTTTTGGGTTAATATGTCTGGTAATACCCCTCTTGCTCTGATGCTATTGGCATGTCCTCTTGACTGACAGCTTTTTTTGGCAGCTTTTGCTTCTTTCTTTTATGTCATTCTTTGCTACTCTCGCTGACAAATTGTTTCCCATTTGCTCCCATTATATTCATTTCTCTCATGTTTTCTTCATCCATCCAATGATAATCGAAATTCTTTGAGAAAAGCCAACTTCCTGGACTCTCTCTGGTCTGCAGTTAGCCTTGAATCTTAATTTAGGCGTCTTTGCATTGAACACTGAAGGCTTGCCTTGGTCTCAACTTTCCTCAGAAGAGCAGTTGTGGGGATGTAGGCTTGGGGTCTGGAGTTTATTGGATGCTCACTGAGGCATTTAAAAAATTATTACGGTTCAAAAATCTCTGTTTGGGCCCACAGCAAATGAAAAAGTAGGGAATTGTACTGGTTTACTGGTAGGGTTGAAAAGTTTTATTTTGGTTCATAAAAGGACCGGGTGGGTGTGACTTTGAAGAACACAGGCATGGTTAGCGAGAACAAGATGACTAGATAGCTGGAAGGAGCAAACCATGGTATTGCTCTGGAATTATGTGAGTATTTTAAGTTTGTGGTTGAGGAAGTAAATATAACTTTACTTGCGCAAGTCTACTGCAGAACTGTCACAGTCTCCCCCACTCTTCATCAGCTCACATTCTCTGGCTGTCCCCTTTCTGCATCTTTTGAAAGTACTCAGTTCCCCCTAGTTCTCATTTATCAGAAGTTACTCTCAGGAAAGGATTGGAAATTAATTTTTGCTTAGGTCAAATAACTAACAACAAATACCCATCTTTGTTCATTTGTATTTAATGAAACTCCAAGGATGGCAGGGTGTGAATGTTCAACTTGTTTTAGCACGGAAATTTAATGATTGCTTTGACAGATAAATCCAATTCAGGGTGGAGGATTTCCCTCTTCCCAACTCCCCATGCAAAGTACAAATATTTCTCCTCGCTTCCGTACAATGTTTGGAAACCCTGTCCTTCCGACCACAAGCAAACGGAAAGCACTGCCTAGTGATGTGGGCTCTGGTTTTGAGGGGGTGTTTAATTCTACTGTGGAAGAAAAGAGGAGAAATGAGGTTCGTATATGGAGAAGATGGAGTGGGTGTGGGTGGGAATTTAGGGGAGGATAAACTGGAGAAGAGGCTAAGGCAGTGTTACCTCTGAGCTCACCCTGGAAGTTACCTAAGATAAGGAGGCACCCCCCTGGCCAGCCCCCAGCACACACACCTAGGATGTGTCTGGGGAGGAGAGAGGAGATATCTTGATAAAAGTTCCTTTCAAGGGCCCAGAAGACTTCACAGTGCACTTCCACTCTGGATAAATGCCATGCCTCCTCACCATTCTCATCCCCCATTTCTTGATCTGTCTGTCAGGGGTGCAGTGGTCCCTTTTGCACCTGTCAGTCACTGGCTGAAAATCCAGCAAGACTGTTTTTGCAGAGGCAGCTCCTTTTTGTGTTGCTTTTCCACAATAGCCCAATGCCCATAAGCCTAAGCAGCTACTAGATACCTCAAAATGAGGTAGAGAGAATCTCTACATCTGATTTGGGCTAAGAATACATTGAAAAAGCCTAAGATCTCCTAAGCTAGCCAGTCATTAGTAATGTCACTGTTACACAAACTTTAAAGAAAAAAGAGACTCCAAAGTAGAGTATCAAACATTTCTCAAAAGACAGGAGGAGGCATTTTAAAATCATTTTGACCTGCTCAGTCTCAGCTGAGAGAGAAAAGGTATGGGAAGTGTCACGCGAATGTGGACAGAGGGGAGGAAGGGAATGGGGAGGAGAAACAAGTTCTAAGAGATCACACTTAAAAAAGGCAATTTGAGTAGGAAGACAGTGTGGGAAACTGCAATTCCTTGGCACACAGTATGAAAATTAAAGCATAAATGATATCATTTATTGATTATATTTTGTAATCTTGGAAAGAGAAGGAAGATGCAAGAGGAGAAACAAGAAAAGGGTGGAGCTCAGTGACTTACAAAACATATCAGTAGGGGACTCTTTAAACACACTTCCAGTAAGGCTGAGCTTACAGTACAGGAATGTCCATCACCCTGAGATCTCCATATGTATTCAGATGGGAATAAAGGCAATAAAGGAAATAAAGCTCATTTCCCTTAGCATGATTTAAGACACTTGGAGAGAAATTCTAGTGCATAGCATAGAACAAAACTAAAGAAATGAAATATGTGGCATTCCACTCATGCATTCAATAAACACTTAAGAATCTTCAAGTGGGAGGCTGCTAACTTTCACAGGGCCAGTGAGCAGTATGGAGCCTATATAGAACAATAAGAAATAAAGAAAAGTGAAACATTTAGTTATTTTACTTGAAAAATCTTTTACAAAGTGAACATGACACTCTACAGAATAATGTGTGTCCAAGGTTATGGGAAAACAGATGTCAGAAAGAGATCTGAAACTGAAATTGGACTTCCCAAAGGTATCTGGTGTGATAGTAATAATGCCCATCAAGTCACAGTAATGTTTACTCTGTGGCCCACTTGTGGTTTGATAGGATCGTGGGATTTTTCCTGATGAATAAATTGTGAGCAAAAATTATATATGTTATTTCAGAGATGAGGATTTGATTGCTCATGGTCCAGAACTCTCTTTCCCTCTGGCATGGAGGGAAACATTAGAGATGCTGGCTGCTCCATCACCTGGATCCCTGATTGATTCCTGATGTTATGTAGGATGAATAAAATATGAACATTTATTGTTTTCAGTCATTGAGATTTTGAGTTGTTTGTTACTGTTAGCAAAACTTAATCTGTCCTGATGTATAGGAGGAAGTGAGTTTGTAGGGTATTAAAGCAAAGGATGACTTCAGAAGGTTGGAGGTCTAGGGACATTCAGATGTGAAAGTTAGACAAGGGGAGAAAGAGGGAGAGGAGGAGAGGAGAACAGGTAATGGAGGTAATGATCAATGTCCTTAATCTCTTCCTCCCCCACCCCACCTCCTTACAACACACAGCTTCCCAATCTGCCTTCCAAATTTTTTCACCAGTACTCCCCCATATGCATTCACTCCAATCAAATTGTTCCCTGTACCTCTGATAAATCTTGAAAACTTGACCTGTTCCTCCCTACCTCTTGCCTACCCTTATTCTATTTAGAGAATCACAGAACTCTTTAGAAACTTAGACTGCTTGAGTTCTAACTGTGTTGTAAATCCCTGCTATTCTGTCCTTACTTATGCTGACCTGAAATTCTTTTAAACTTGGACTCCTTTTTGTTATTGAGACCCACATCTGCCTACATCTGCTTTCAGGAAAAATTGCTATGATCTATAAAGCTGGAACTAAGAAACAAGCACACATATCTGAAAACAAATTTAAAATATGCTCACTTAAAATTTGCTTTTTAAATACTTTTTAAAACTAGGTTCAGAAGTATTAAGTCAGAATGATCCTATCTTGATAAAGGAGGGATATGCATAAATATATATGAGAAGAAAGTCCAAAAGGATATATATTTATGCAAATGCCAAGTATCTCTGCATGGTTGAGCCACGGGGGCCTTTGTATTTCTTCTTTCTGTTTTTTGTTTGGTACTTTATAAGTTTTTGTTCAATAAATATGTATCATTTGTGTAATAAAAAGTTATGATTCATACACATATATTTAAAGGCATTAACTTAACTGACATGGCAATGAGATTGTTAAGGAATACAAAAAATCATACCTAAAACAGAATATTAAAACTTTATGAGCACCTAAGAAAACTGAGTATTATGTATCCTACCAGGTAAATGGGTGATATGATGAATAGTCTTACCAAGGAGAGTAAGATTAGCCATAATGGGATCAATGTCAAAGCCAAACTTGTTAGTTCACAAATTTGTGCTGTGGTTACGTGGCATACAACGTAGTTGCTTTGGTTAACTCTCCAGGGCACTTGCTATAGATATAAAATTGATCTTGACCTAAGCCTCCACACAAATACATAATTTTTCACAAATATTTACAAAGGGCATAGTTTATGTGTCGAGCGTTACATTGTATACTAGGTGGGGTTATGAAGATGAATCAAACACGATCTCATGGAGTCTCAATGATCTGTTGGGAAAGTTATCAGGTTGGCTTGATTCTTGGAACTTTTGG